AGATGTGTACAATTCAGATAGACTCATTGGGCCTCCCCACCATTTTACAGATGAAGAAATTGAGTCCCAGATAGGTGAAGTGACATACCTGAGTTGCCTAGATAGATTGGGAATCTCAGCTAACAAATATTGAGCCCTTTTTCTGTCCAGAGTTCTTATTGTTAGATACTGGAGGAGGAGGTATGATTTAAGTCAGGCCTTGAAAGAGTTTACAATATAGTAGCAATAATGTTGCATTGGTATAGCACTTAATAGTTACAAAGAACTTTTCTTGCATTATCTCATTTCATCCTCCAACTCTGGCAGGTATGTCGTTCAAATGGCATCATACTCATTTTATACCTGAGGAGTGAAATTGTTTGCCCATGATCACACAGCAAATAACTGAGAATCAAATTCCAGTCTTCTGACTTCAGTACTAATGCCTTTTTATTTTTTTTAATGTTTTATTGGTGCTCTTTTTTCCCTTGGATATCATTGTCACTTCCTAATGACACTTTCCCAATCTTTGTAACAAAGAGGTACGGTTTTTTTTTTCCTATTAAACATATTTTCACATTAGTCATGTTCTAAGGAAGAATTAGAACTAATAGGAGGAACCACTGGAAAGAGGAAACAAAACAAAATAGAAAAAAAAAGAGCAAATAGTATGCTTCAATCTGCATTCAGACTCCCTAGTTCTTTCTCTGGATGTGGATAGCATTTTCTATCATGAGACTTTTGGAGATGTCTCAGATCTTTGCATTGCTGAAAAGGGTTAAGTCTATTATCAACATTAGTCATTGCACAGTGTGGTTGTTACTGTGTACAATATTCTCCTGGTTCTGCTCACTTCACTCAGCATCAGTCTATACAAGTCTTCCCAAGTTTTTCTAAAGTCTGCCTGCTCATCATTTCTTATAGCACAATAATATTCCATTACATTCATAGACCACAACTTGTTCAGCCATTCCCCAATTGATGGGCAGTTTCAGTTCTTTGCCAGCACAGAGAGAGCTGCTATACATCTTTTTGTACATGTGGGGCCTTTTCCCATTTTTATGATCTCTTTGGGATACAGCCCTAGAAGTGCTGTTGCTGAGTCAAAGGGATGCCCATTTTTATAGCCCTTTGGGCATAGTTCCAAATTGCTCTGCAGAATGGTTGGATCAGTTCACAACTCTACCAACAATGCATTAGTGTTCAGATTTTGCCACATCTCCTCCAACATTGATCATTTTCCTGTTTTATCATGTTGGCCAATCTGATGGGTGTGATGTGGTACCTCAGAGTTGTTTTGATTTGCATTTCTCTAATCAATAGTGATCTAGAGCATTTTTTCATATGACTGTAGATGGCTTTATTTTCTTCATCTGAAAACTGCCTGTCCATATCCTTCAAAGAGGTACAGTTAAACATGACAAATCAGCCCAGTACTAACCATACAGACAGTATATGCCTGATTCTGCGCCTGCAGTGTTCCTCCTGTCTGATGAAGCGAGTTTCACCAGCAGTCTTCCCAAGTTGCAGTCCAGCCCCATTTGCACTATAACATGTCACCTATTTAGTAAGGGAGATGATGTGCACAAATTAATTATCTATGAGATTGAATGTTGTCAGTGCTATAAAGGAGGTACTTTAAGAGTTGAGAGAATAGAGAAATTGCTTTTTTTTTTTTTTTGGTGGCATTTGATCTCATTCTTGATGAATAAATCAGGTTTGAGAGAAAAGATGGGGAGTGGGATCGTGTTTGGCATTGGGCTCTTAGTTACTTAGGATAGAGTCCTCTTAAAGTCTTCTCTGGTGGCCGGCCTCGTCACAGTCACGAGCTCGTTGTTTTCTCCTGCAGATCAATGAGCTCAGCAATGTTCCAGTCCCAGTCATGTTAATGCCAGATGACTTCAAAGCCTACAGCAAGATCAAGGTGGATAATCATCTCTTCAATAAGTAAGTTCCTGGGGTCAGGTCTCCTGTTTGAAGGGCAGGCCTTCTATTCGGTCGGAGAACTTTGGAAGCCTGATCTTGTGCCAGTGACAGAGCCAGCATCTGTTAGGGGTGAGAGATAACACAAAAGCCGTAGACTTTAGCTGGCTCTTCCCTCCCTCAGTGTCTCTTGATCTGCCTTGCGTTGTCAGCAGTGCCATGAGGCTCCCCGTGGGCCTTCAGCTGGGCACCAACGACTCACTGGGGGCCAGTTTGGGTGGAAGTCAGCCCCCTGGTAGTTGAAGTGTCTAGTGTGGGGCTGCCAAGCTATCTTGATCTTGGGAATCCTGGCGTGTTTCTAGTCTGGAATACAGTCAAACTCCCTGTGGATACATCTCTCCTATCTCCTTTGAGTAGTATAGGAACAGTAAGCCTGGTGAGGTGCCCAAGGGCTCTGTCCAGGGTTACTTTTCCCATTTTTTGGTTAGGAAGCTAAAACATCTGGGCTTTCTCTCTAATGATGGAATGCAGGACCCCAGGAGCCTGTGCTCTTTGGAGATCTGTGTCCTTTGCTCCTACCATGGAACATCTACCTACTGCCCACCCCTCTTCCTTTGTGCTTTTGAATTCTGATTCAGTTTTCTTGAATTCCACAGCCCTCCCTTGCTTCAGCAACCTTACTGTCTTACCCCCACCATTCACAGAGACTTGAGTTTGGTTTTCGAACCTCTTTCAATGTCTCTTTGCCACAGGGAGTAATAAGAACACTTTGTTCTAGAAGCCATCTCCACATCACAGCTGCCACCGACTAAATTGCCACTTAGCTAAGGAGAGGCAGCAAAATCTGAGCAATTGTGTTCATTGTCAGCCTCTGGTTGGGAGTAGGGAAGGAGACTTTGGTATTCCTGGGGTTTGGGTGACATCCAAAAGGATCCAAGGACTTTGGGTCCATCACAGTTTCAGCATCCATTGACCCATTCCCATTGTTCTTGGACAGAAGCAGGGGGTCCCCTACCCTTTTGGGAGGAAAAGGCAGGGTACTGGCAATAAAATTCTCAAGCAGATTTCTGATCGTTAAATCCCAGAGTAGTGGGGAGGGTTGTATTTCCCTCCTTGCTGGGAACCCCATCAAACTGCAGAGGGGAGGAGGCACAGAAGCAGCAGTAAGCTAGGAGGCCTTCCAAGAAAAGTTTCAATCTTTTGGTAGGAGACTCATGTCTTAAAGCGCCAGGGCAAAAGTCATCTTCCTTTTGTGTGCTGACGAGAGGAAGGCAGAGTGCTTAGGCCATCCTGTCCCTCTCCAGGGCAGTGATCTGAGCACTTCCATTGGCAGCAAGTGATGATATTAACAAGGGTCAAGTTTGAAGATACTTGACATAATGTTGCTGCTCAGGGGCCTTTTAGCATGGTAGTGGAGGGGGGACTGGTTTGTGTGGGTTCTGCTGAAACCCAGTGGGCAAAAAGGTTTTGAAATTCAGGAAGACATCTCTACTTTTGCCTAGGGAGAACCTACCCAGCCGTTTTAAATTTAAAGAGTACTGCCCCATGGTGTTCCGAAATCTCCGGGAGAGATTTGGGATTGATGATCAGGATTACCAGGTAAGGGGTGTCTTTTTTCAAGGGAGCCTGAGGGTGGAATTGGTAGGGGGGTGTGGTGAAGACCTTAGTGGACAGGAAGCTTGAAGGAGCAATCCCCCAGGGAAATTCAGGTGCTAGTGCTGCTGGTAAAGGCACCACAGGCATAACCTTAGTTGAGAACAGGGCCTTGGCACTTGTCCTTGGACCCAGGAAAGCAGAGTCAGTAGGGCTGTTGGGAGGTTGAGCAATGGGATGGAAGAGGGAACTATGAAAGCCACTTCATTTTGGTCTGACATTCCCAGTCTAGGCTGAAGACCCCTTCTCCTTCGTAGTTTGACTTAAGAGAGAGTTTTTCCCAGCAAGAGATAAGAGGCTTCTTAAAGCAGATAAGACAGATTAGGAAAGGAAGACTTCAAGGCTAGTGTAACTTCTTTCCAGGTATGAGTGTCAGGTAATAAATAAACCCCTTATGATTGGGGGAGGGGGGCAGACAGGGTAGATTAACTGCCCCCTCCACTTGATGTCATTTGTGGGTTGAGGGAATCAGATAAACTGGGGGAAACTGATCCCATTATCAGAAACATTGGAGTGTGACTCATGCCTCATGGTTTCCTTTTCTCCTCCACCTCTTCAACAGCTTTCCAAGCTTTTCTGCCATACCTAGCAGGCCCTCCATCAACTGAGAACTGGGAAAGAGTGGAATTTTCCACCTCACCTACATAGTAATAAGAGATACAGTTGATTCTTAATTATCTGCAAGAACCAGGAGAGTATAGTTTGTTAAAATCTGTAAAGGATGCTCAAACCTCCATTTAGCTGTAGTAGTGGCCTCTCCTCTCCTCTGAGTAGACCTTTCACTGGCGCTGGTCTCAAGCAGCAGAATGGGCCTGGTACTCTCCTCCCCTCATCTCATCTCCAATCCTTGTCCCCTAGGTGGAGGCACTACACAAGTAGGTATATGGCTTTAAGGCAGAGACTAAGAAGAAGTAAGGAGGAAAAACCAAGCACTTGAATAATTAAAATTCAGTTGTATCCATATGCTACAGGAAGGTTACCCATGTCCTGTATTAGGATAGAGCCCAAATGAAAATCCTAATTTTAGGAAAGAAGCTTGAGGAGTTTTTGATCACTCTAGACACTGAAGTAACAGCAGGTTACCTTGCCATCATCACCCCTTTGCTGTGGCTTACTTCTCATCCCTTGTCTCACATCATGCTGCACACTGAACTTCTCAGCTGCCTTGCTGGGTAGATAGTTGTGCTGAGGATTGAGTAGGGTTTAAGGGGGATGATATAAATCAAGATTATTCAGAGCAGGAGCTATACTTTTCATCTTTTTGTTGATTAAAAGCCTTAGAAAAGAATGTTTTCTCTCTGTTTTACTTGGCCTTCCTGCCACATTGGTCTTTCCAGGTAGAAGGTTAGGAGTGGGAGCAGTAAACATGTATCCACTGAATTTCCACTAATTGAGAAAGAAAGTATAATACAGCAAAGCTTCCTCTCAGGCTTCGTGCCTCTCTTCTTGTTGGGCCTGAAAGCTCAGTCTGAGACTGGTTCTAACATTTATTTTCAGACAAGGACTTCCTCTAACCCTTTCAGTTCCCTTCCTCTCTTAACATATGAGGATTGGGCAGACCTAGGAGTAGCAATGTACCTAAACTGTCAGGACTCCTTTAGAGTTTAATTCTTTTTTTTTTCCCCTTTTTGGTGAGGCAGTCGGGGTTAAGTGACTTGCTCAGGGTCACACAGCTAATAAGGGTCATGTGTCTGAGACTGGATTTGAACTCAGGTTCTCCTGACTCCAAAGCCGGAGCTCTACCTTCTGTACCACCTAGCTGCCTCAAGATTGTAATTCTTCATAAGACCCCTCATTTCATGCCTCAGTTTTCCTTTAACAATGAAAGTGATCATATTTCTCTCCTAGGAATACTGAGGCCTATGTAAATTAACCCAGGGAAGTTTGGGGCAAGAAAACTTGAAAAAAGTAAGGAAGGCATCAAGTGAGAGAGAGAAGGAAAAGATACGCAAATTAAGCATTTTCTGTGACCAAATTTCCTGGGGATAAAATTTTTTCCAAATATTTGGAAATAGGTAAATATGGGCCTTATGTCTAAGAACAGCATTATTCAACATTCAAAAGAAACCTTTATTAAGTGCATGCTGTGTGCAAGGACTGTGCTAACCACTGAAGGATATAGAAAAAGACATAGTTCCTGCTTTCAAGAAATTTATGATTAAGTAGGGGAGATATGACATGTACACAAATACCCATCATAACAGAATGCGCTAAGCATGTAAGAGAAGTCCAAAGTACTTCCCTGCCCCACCACTTCCCTTTTCCTCTCCAAAATAATCCATTATTTTTCTGCTTGTCTGGCAAACAGAAAATCACTTTCTTTTCCCCTGACTTTCCAAAGGGTTGCTCTTCTTTTTAAAAGAAATTTGATGCTTTGACAAGAATTTTTATTGTCCTTTTTTGTTACCTCTTTCATTTCTGAATATATTTCTTCCCCCTCCTCCCAGTGAGCTTTCCCTTTTAACAAAGATTACAAAAGAAAAAAGAAAAAGAAATAGTTTAGCAAAACCAACCGGCACATTGATCATGTTTCGCAGTTTATGCATGGCTTCTTACCCATAGTTTCTCACCTCTGCAGTGATAGGAGGGCTGTATTTTTTCTTAATTGTTCTGCAGGACTAAGGTTGGTTCTTATATTAGCATAGCATTTATTTTTCTTTTACTGTTTTTTCCCCTGTTTCCATGGATATAATTCCATTTCCATTTTGTACATTATTTTCCTGGTTTTCCTTCAGACCGCATCAGTTCATAGAAGAGATTCCATGCTTCTCTGCTCATTTACCTTATGGTGCAAGATCATTCCATTATATTCATTAACCATCATTTGTTTGGCTACTCCTCAGCCAATGAGCACCTACTTTGCTTCCAGTTCATTGTCATGACAAAAAATACTGCAAAGACTGTATGTATAGAGAGGATTTCCTTTTTGGCTTTGACCTCTTTGAAGTTTGTGCCTAACAGCTCTCTGGATCAAAAAGTTTGCACATTTTAGTCACTTTTTAATTATCATAATCCCGGTTTGCTTTCCAGAATGTTTACCAGGGGTGGGGAAACTTCAGCCTTGAGGCCACATATGTTCCTCTAGGGCCTTGGATGTGACCTTTTGACCGAGTCCAAGTGTTACAGAACAAATCTTTTTATTAAGGGGATTTATTCTGTCAATTTTGGATTCTGTCAAAGGGCCGTACTTGAGGACCTAGAGGGCCACATGTGGCCTGCAGGCTACAGTTCCCCATCCCTGGTTTAGACCAATTCATAATTCCACCATCAGTTTATTAGTGTGCTCTTCCTGCATTGAATATTTTCATCTTCAGATAAATAATTTTCTTTGGACCAGACTCTCTTCCATGGCTGCTGTTGGCCTCTGTCCCCCAAATGAGATGGAGTCTTAAAAAGGAGCAGAGAGCCAAGAAGCGCCCTGGAACTCTGACAGCCGTAGTAGCTGCAAAGCTGGAGGCTGGAGGCTGGAGGCTGGAGGCTGGAGGCTGGAGGCTGGAGCAAGGGTAAATGCTGTCCAGTGAGAAGGGAAAGCCCGCTGCTATCTGCAGAGAGGGCCCAGAGGGTCAGGACCACAGGGAAACATTGTATGTTTCACTTGTTTCCTGGCACCGAGACAGTGCCTCTCAAGGGTTGTCTTCAGCTCTTCCATATGGCTTGGTGGGTTCATTCACTTCCACAGCTTCAGATATCATTTGTGTGCAGATGACCCCAAATAAACGTCTTCAACCTTGATTGCTCATCAGTAGTTCAGCCCACATCTATACGTGCCTTACATGTGGGTGTCTCACCGTATGCTTCAAACTCAATATGTCCAAAATCAAGCTTATCTTTCCCCTAAACTTTCCTTTAGTGGCACTACAGTTCACCTGTGCTAGAACAGGTAGTGTTACCTTTGCTTCTCCTTTCTTCCTTATGGGCCACATCCAGTTGATTACCAAATCCCATTGATTCTTCCTTTGTGGTGAGATACCAGTTTGTCTGAAAAAGATCTGGGGGTTTTAGTGGGTAGCAAACTTAGATGAGTCAACACTGTGATATGCTGATGTGGTCTTAGCCTACATTAAAAGGGGCAGAACCTCCAGGAATAAGAAAACTAAAGTCCCTCTCTACCCTGGTCAGACCTCATCTAGAGTAATGTTCAGCTCTGGGCACCACAGTTTAAGGAAGACATTGATAAGTTGCAGAGTGTCCAGAATGGTGAAGAGCCATGTCCAGTAAGTCTGTGTCATATGAAATTCGGTTGAAAGAACTAGGAATATTTAGCCTAAAGAAAACAAGATGCAGGAGGGAACCCGATAGCTGTCTTTGAGTATCCGAAGGACTGTCATGTGGAAGAGAATGAGACTTCTTTTGTATGTTCTCAGAAGGCAGAACCAGGAGCAATGAGTGGAAATTGCCAAGGGGCCAGTCTAGGCTTGGAGTCAGGAGAAACTTCCTCCCAGTAAAAGCTGCCCAAAAGTAGACAGTACCACTTCAGGAAGAGCATTATAGGATGCCTCCCAGCAGATATTAGAGATCCACTTGTCAGGAGTATTCTGGGTAGTAAGGGATTCCTTTTAGGTATGGGTTGAACTAGTTGGCTCCTGGGGTCCCTTCCAGCTCCAGAGTTCTGTGATTTTGTGATCTCTGGTGGCTGCCCCTTACTCTAGGCCCATTGTCACCTGCCAGGACTGTTGCAATAGCCTCCTTCTAACACACCTTCTTTCTCCCTCTTCCAGTCCATCCTTCACATTACCCGATGAATATGCTTTATTCATAGCTTTGGTCAAATTCTCAAAAACCTCTGCTCATGCTCTCTTCACTTGGCTCCCTATGGTGCACCAACTGACATTTAGGCTTCTTTGCTGGGCACCCATGGCTCTCCAGCCAAACCAGGTCCATCACTTTCCCACCTTTGAGGCTTGGTGTGAACTGGAATATTGATTCTCTCTCTCTTCACCCTTTAAAGCCCAACTCAAATGTCACCTTATACAATACAACTTCCTCTAATTTCCCCTTTAGGTTAAACCTTTTCCTCCTGTACCTCAAACTTAATTTTGTACTTCTTTCATGAAATTGTGTGTTATTTTGTACATCTCTGTAGTTCGATTCTTTTACCAAACTGTTAGCCTGGCATGAAGCTTTGAACTGAATATGTATTTCATATATTTTTAATTGAATTGAAAAAACAACACCCAATTTATATCTTGGTATTCATGGGAGATAGAAGAGCAGCAGGAGATAATTGGGAATGGGATTAATCTTCTCTGGTACAGATAGGGAAACTGAGGATAATCTATATGAAGTGACTTCTAGAAGTCACACAATATATCAGGATCAGGATAGAAGCCAGGCTTTCCACCATTTCCATCTAGGACTTTGACCAGGAGGCTCTACCTTTAGTTTGCAAGGAAGCTCATTGGAACTAGAATTGAAGGAAAGACCTTTTCCCGTAATTCTCTCTCCATACCAGCCCCAGAATGGAGGAGGGGGGAGGGAAAAAAAGGGGACTCTACAGGCAGCACTGTTTCTGTTACTCAAAACTCTTTGGAGGTTGCACATTTCCTTTAGGAAATATGTGAGCAGCATTGGGAGTTCCTGTGTCCTCATACTTGACTGCAGGGGCCGGGGTTGGGGGGGAGTTGGACCCGTTAAAAGGAGATACCTAGTACCAGTTGGGGTCCCAAGGCCAGCCTAACTTTTGACTTGGTCTGCCAGAACTCAGTGACACGCAGTGCCCCCGTCAACAGTGACAGTCAGGGCAGATGTGGAACACGTTTCCTCACCACCTATGATCGTCGATTCGTCATCAAGGCCGTGTCAAGTGAGGATGTGGCAGAAATGCACAACATCCTAAAGAAATACCACCAGGTACATTGAGGCCCGAGTCTGAGCTGTGAGGGGGTGGGGGGGAAACGGGGTGGCCCAGGGGGAACAGTTGAGAAAGGCCATGGCAGGAGGAAGCATCTTACTGGAGAACAGGGGGTGCCTTCTAATAGCCGAGCCACTGCCCCTCTCCTGACACCTGCCCTAAAATAGATGAAGACGCTACTGACTCATCCCAGCCTCCATCACTGACACTTTGGCACTAGCCTTGTCCCTTTCTAAGGAGGCTCTTCCATCTGGAGTGACCCTCCAGGCTGTCTGGGAACCATCTGAAAAGGAGCCTGGCTCGCACGTTCCCAAGACTCTTCATACTTGGTAGCCCTAGTGGGGTAGTAGCTGAGTCAGTGCTGGAGAAGCCATGGAGAGAGACAGGGAAGGGGGTTGAGGGATGGAGTGGAAGGAGCAGCTCTGGTCCCAGGATGAGGCTGGAACTTAAAACAAAGGGCTAGCCCATTTTCTCAGCAAGTTGCACCTCAAACTGGGCCCTTATAACACTCCTTTGTTAGGGATTCATTGGAAAGAGGGCTGAGGGGGACCTATGTCCAGCTTCTTGAGGGATAGACACCCAGAGGTGCTAATGTGATGTGTCCGGGGAGGGGCCCATCTGTCCTGGGGTGTGTCCAGCTGTTATTCCTACCTTTTTTTTCTTCCTGTTCTCATCCCCTCCCATTCTAGTTCATAGTGGAGTGTCACGGAAACACCCTTTTGCCCCAATTCCTGGGCATGTACCGCCTGACTGTGGATGGTGTGGAGACCTACATGGTGGTCACTAGGAATGTGTTCAGCCACCGGCTGACTGTGCACCGGAAGTATGATCTCAAGGTATAGCACCCATGGGGCCCGTGGGCTCCCATACCCAGTGAGGTCCAGTGAGATAATGTGTGGTGAGCCTGAGGTACCGTACAAATATGAATTGGTATTCTCCAGGCATGTAAGATAGCTGGAGGAGCTGTGGCCTGCCTGAGAAGATAGCTTGGGGAGGAGGGGGTGGTTCTCTGCACTTTATGTCCAGATGTGTCCTGTGCCATGTTCCCTTCCTGTGCCTCAGAGCCAGCCTGGGGCTCAGCATGTGGTGGACAGGAGGCTAGTTGCAGCCTGCTTTTAACCCCCAAAGTTTTTGTCCTTTATGTACAAAGAGGATAACCTTGGCCCACTCTTAGTGGGATGCGCACAGTGAGGCATGAGAGTGCAGACAGCTTGGGATGAGTTGTCCGTGCAGTCACCTGGTCTTGCTTTTGACCTAAGGTCACATGATTTTAAGCCAGTGGCCTGAGTCTGGGGTATAATTTGTGGTTGCAGAACTTCTTTTTTTCCCCCCATATGAAATTTAACTGGCCTATTCACACATCGGACTTATAAAGTTATATTAATACCACAGTTCTAACAAACTCTGCGCAGTTCTTTGTTTCTTGTTTCTCCCAGCCTTCCCTCCATTCCCCTCAGAGGCCAGGCCAATCTGCTTTCTCAGTAGACTTAACTTTTCCATCCTCCCGTAAGATATACAGTGTATTTGCCTCTTCTTCCCACCCATCACAAGGGATTCATCTTGCTCTTCTTTTATCTTCCTCTTCAGGGCTCCACTGTCTCCAGAGAAGCAAGCGACAAAGAAAAGGTAGGCTACGGTGCTTAGTATCCACAGTCTAGAGGTCTGGAGTGGGTTCAGTGGGAATGAATTAAACATTCTTTCTATTGGCAAGACCCTCTAGGGACTGTGCTGTTTATCCCCTTAGCTCTAGGCCTGAGCCCAGCCTAGCCCAGGTGGCCTGGGAGAGAGGGGAGATGTGTTATATTTAGAGAATGAGATTCCCACAAGGCTCCTCAGCCTTAGCAGGAAATTCTTCCATATAACTAACCTAACATCTTCCTGCTTTGTTTCTAGGCCCTTGTCGCTACCTTTTTCTTGTTGCTCATCTCTGGGCTCTCCCTGGGTTCTTCTAGAAGCTAGGACTGAGACTTGCTGGCAGGGGCTGGTGACCGTGCAGGCTGAGCATCTGTGTCTCAAACATTCTGACACTCCCCTCCTCCCCTGGGGTGGATGAGTCTGAGGGTTGCCCTGCCTGCCTGACACTGCCCTCCCCCTCCCACAGGCCAAGGATTTGCCGACCTTCAAAGACAATGATTTCCTCAATGAAGGACAGAAGTTGCATGTAGGAGAGGAGAGTAAAAAGAATTTCCTGGAGAAATTAAAACGGGATGTGGAGGTAATAAACATGGCTGTCTTCCTGCTTGGGAGGAGGTGGGAGGTGAGCCGGGGCAACACCTCCCTTCAGGGCTACACCCACCTAAGTCACTAGGGAACCTCCTTTTCCCTGATTAACTCCATCTAACTGTGTTCCTGTCATCCCAGCCCAACTGTTATATTACAGGTCTATTATGTTTACATTTTAATATTGCTTAAGAGATTTTGTGTATGTGCTTTTACCTCTGCAAATAAATTATGAGTTTCCAGAGAAGAAGGACCATGTCATCTTCTCCTATTTCTGCTCCTTTTTTTTAAACAAGTATTTATTAGGCACTTGTTATGTACCAGGCACTGTGCTGAATGCTTTATAAATATTATCTTTCTTGATCCACACAACAACCCTGAGAGGGAGGTGCTGTTATATTATCCTTATTTCATAATTGAGGAAACTGGGGCAGACAGAGATTAAGTGAATTGCACAGGGTCACATACCTAGTAAATGTCAGAGGCCAAATTTGAACTCAGGTCTTTATGGTTCCAAGCCCAGCACTCTGTGCAATATGGTGCCATCTAGCTATAGCTCTTGTTTTTCCTTACATAAAATTTGTTTTTTACATAAAAAGTATAGCCAGCACCTGCTTTTAAATCAATTAATTTATGAATTCATTGTGTTTTTTGAGAAACATATGTTAGTATTAAAACAGCTTAAAGAAATGTCATGGCATTTCTGAAGCAGCTGTTGTAGAGTGGAGAGAGTGCTGGGTCTAGAGTCAAGAACACCTGAGTTCAAATTTGGCCTTTGACATTTACTAGGTGGGTGACCCTGGGCAAATCACTTAACCTTTGTTTGCCTGAGTTTCCCCAAATGTAAAATACGGATAATAACAACACCTATCTTGAAGTGCTGTTGTGAAGATGAAATGAGATAATATTTGTAAATCGCTTAACAGGTACCTGGCACATAGTGGGTGCTCTATAAATGCATATTCCCTTCCCTCCTCTTTCCTTCATGGCTCTCTTTTAAAAAAAATCAGTTTTGATTCTTCCATATTTTAATATTGGCATAGTTTCCTATTGCCCTCTTACCTTATGCTAATAGTGAAAAGTAAGTTGAATTTGGAGTCAAGAAGACCTGAGTTCAGATTCCACTTTTGACATTTACTAGCTATATGTTCATAGTCAAGTCATTTAACATCTGGGAAGCTCAGTTTCCTCATATGTAAAATGGAAACAAGGAAATATCTTCCTCACAGTGTTGTTGTGCACTTTAAAAATCTCAAACTACTTTATAAATGTCAGTTATTATTAATAACCCTAATAATAATAACAACAATAATAAGCTAGTATGGCTTCAGAACAGTGCACTAGCCTTCATATACAGAGATTACACACCTAACTCACCGAGGGCTGTGGCTTGTTCTCCAGGGCCCAGATGTATTCTCCCTCCCTGTTTGTAATCTATGTGTCACATCTGGATAACAGCCTAGGGTGAAGGGTCATTTGTGGCCATTGGCAAATTAGCTAGAGCTCCAAGTTCTGTCCTCATTAATAAAGTGCTTGTAGGTGAAAGTACTTGCTGATCAGCTGATCCCAGAGTGCATTTCTGTTTTCTAGGGCCTCGGAATACTCCAAGGGAACTAAGAATTAAGGGAAGAGGTGGGAATTGTTGGTATAAATCTGTTGCCTTCCAATAGGGTGAAGTTTTTCTCTTACCCTTGGTGCCTTCCTCCCCTCTCCCGGCCTCCTTTCCCATTTAATTTTCTGTCCTGTTCATCCTTTCCGCTTTATAGAACCGATTGGAACTTTCCATATAATCTCTTCCTTCTCTTTTCTCCCTTAGTTCCTGGCTCAGCTTAAAATCATGGATTATAGCCTTCTGGTGGGCATCCATGATGTGGACCGGGCGGAGCAGGAAGAGATGGAAGTGGAGGAGCGGGCAGAGGATGACGAATGTGAGAACGATGGGGTGGGTGGCACCCTGCTGTGCTCCTACGGGACACCCCCTGACAGCCCTGGGAACCTCCTCAACTTCCCCCGATTCTTTGGCCCTGGGGAATTTGACCCATCTGTGGATGTTTATGCCATGAAGAGCCATGAAAGTAAGTAGGAGCACTGCTCTCTCACCCCATATCTTCTCCAGTCCCACGGCCAGAGAACCTTGTCATCTGGGAGAGCTGCTGCTGGTGGCAGCTACAGCATAACAGCCAGAGCTCTGCTCTGGGGATCCACACAGGGCCCGGATGCTGCAGCTTCTTCCCTGCACATCCTTAGACGAGTCATTTCTGGCTGGGTTATCTCCAGGGTCCCTTTCAGCTCTCAGCTTTAGGTCTTCCCCTCTCTTTGGCTTCTGCCATCGGTCACTGGGTTCATGAGCTGTCTCCATGCCCTCTAAGGTCCCTGTGTCGGTTCTATGTTACATCTAGTAACTCATTTTTCTAAGGGTTCCTTTCTCAACCTTGTGGAATCTCCTCAGGATGGGAGAGGGGAAGGGGTTTCAAAGTAGAATTTGCTTTCATCTGCCTTCCTTGAAGCATCATGATCATGTTGTGGAAAGTGGGAGAGATGGGGCTCCAGGAGGATAATATTTCAGGTGTCTTTGACCTGTGGATAGGTAGTTTGGGAGGGTTTCTGAGGTACCTAAAAGCAAAGACCTGAAAACACCCCAGGAGTAGACTGGACCAGCTTATCTGACCTCTCTGCCTCACAGCTTATGAGGATACAGTAAAATAGTCATTGAGAAGGTACTCTAAGAAGATGTCCAGGGAGGATTCGAGAATCTCTGAGTTTCATGTCTGGGCTAGGTGTTTTATGTCTGACTCTGTCATTTCCTGCTCTCCATTTTCTTGCCAGATGCCCCTAAGAAAGAGGTGTATTTCATGGCCATCATTGACATCCTCACACCCTACGACGCCAAGAAAAAAGCTGCACATGCTGCCAAAACAGTGAAACATGGGGTGAGTCTGTCCTGTTCCAGTTCAGGCAGCAGCAAGGGGGAGACCTTGAGGAGGGATCTCAGAGGTTCCTTGTGTCTGAACGATGATCCCTTCTGCCAGCAATGTTCCAAGGGGGCTTCTCGAGATGTGGGGGCCCATCTCCTCCCCAAAACTGGTCTCCTTCTCGGTCTCTCTAATGGTTAAGAAGTTTTTCCTCGCCTCAAACCTCATTCTGCCTTTCTACCTTCCATCCATTGCTGCCCTTCATCCAAGCAGAGCTTCCTTCTTACATGTGGTAGTCCTTCAGTGCGTGAAGGCCGCTGTTATTTCCTCCCTAAGTTTTCTCTTCTCTAGGATAAATGTCCTTAATTTGATCAACTAATGCTCATGTTCTCCAGACCTGGCGCTGAGAAGTGGGGTGGTTTGGGACCTGCTGCCCCCTTCCTAGCACAGAATGGGCTGCAGGGAAAGCTGCTGTTTCTGTTTGTCCTCCAGTCCCTCCAGGCAGGTGGACTTACCTTGGCCTTATTTATCTTGCACTTGCACCTGCTTCTTTTCCCAGAGGGTTCCTTAAGATGTTGTGCATCTCACCTGGCAGCTTGTAATAACTTTGTTTTTGTATTTATACTGCTCCCTAAAGGTCTCTTTCCCTCCGGATTTAAATCCATTGTTCTGCAAAATAAAACATTAGAAAGATCTGGGACCTTCACCCGTCATCTCCCCACATACTTACCTCCCAGCTTTGTTATAGGCCTGAGGGGAAGGGAATCTCAGCTTGAATGAGACCTGCACTGAGAGAAATAGAAAAAAGCCAGGTCCAGTGCAGAAGAATCACTTAACACTCAAAAATTGTTTTCAAGAGTCTGTGTTTTATATAAATTTATACCAGTTCTATGCTGACCACATGCAGATACGTAGGGCCCTTCCTAATTCAGCAAGTCTATGACCCTTTGGTACCATTCTTTAACATGTCCTTTATGCATTGCAGGCTGGGGCGGAAATTTCAACAGTGAACCCTGAGCAGTACTCCAAGCGCTTCAATGAATTCATGTCCAATATCCTGACATAGTCATCATCTGCCTGCAGCCAGAACCAGAGTGCTGGGGTGGGATCTGGGAAGGAAAGGAGGAACAACAGGTGGAGAGCTGAGGTGTGGGGGGAGGGGTGAGCTTCAGAGGAGAGACGTAACAGCCTGCAACACTGTACAAGACACTGTAGCAGCGTGTGCAAGTGAGAGAGAGAGAGGGAGAGTGTGTGTGTGTGTGTGTGTGTGTGTGTGTGTGTGTGTGTGTGGTAAAACTTTATGGGAATCTTCATCTTCTGTGCACCCTTGATTCCCCCACTTGACCCTGGTGGAAAAGTGGCTCTCTCTGTTACTGAGACACCCAGAGGCTGGACAGGGCTCCGTTGGGTTTATTTGGGTTTTGTTTTTCAAATCGCATTGCTTCAACATTGCTATTTATAATGTTGTGTGCAAATCATCCTGTTCTTCCCCACCCCAACTCCCTTTTAATGAAAAAGCCCTAGTAGCCCTCCCTGCATGGGGACCTTTTAGAGCAAAGCACTATGACATCAGAAAGGAGAATGCCAGTAACTTCTAAACCTCTTAGGGGGGTTTGGTTGGATGGATTTTTTTTTTTTAACTAGGGTATCGAGTGCAGCTCTTCCCACTGCCTACCATGCATAGAAATTAAAAAACGAGATTGTTCTTCCATCTACACTTGTTCCCTTCCCCCAGCCCCCCACATGGTCCAACACAGGCCATGGGGGACTGATGGCCGAAGATGTCAGAGTTTGGTGGAGTCCATCCACAGGGGAGGGTGGTGGCTTTTGGAGCCATTTGTTTTAAAAGAAACTGCACATGCCCATAGAATCATGGCAGATGTCTCCTTCTCCAAGCCTGCCTCCCAGTGGATCCCAGAAGTAGAAAGTGCGCCTATAGATATTATCATCATGTATTCAGTTATTTTTCCCTTCTAAGGAACTGAAGTGTGAAAGTCACCTAAAATCTTGTGTACTTCTTCTCTTTGAATCTAATCCCCTCCCACCCCCCACCCCCCCCAGCAAGCCTTATTTTATTTTGGACATATGTGTGTCCGAGTTCTTAGCCTGGGGAAAGTGGAAATGTTCCTTCAAGAGTGTCCCCTCCAGTGAGATCTTTCCAAGCCAAGTGCTGTCATGTAGATGTCTTATTCTTCAACCCCTGGTGCAGCCTTCAGAAGCTAATGAGGCTAATGAGCAAGAGAGTGCCCCTTTTCTATCTGCACCTTCCTCCCAATGGCCCAGGAGTCATTTGTGGAAACATTTCCAGGAAGTTAAAATTAACGTGCTTTGTAACATGTGTGACCAAGATCTAGCACCATCTGGGATGACTTTTTTTTCCCCCACATACACCTGGATTCCTAGCTACTTTAGCATCCATTGGTCTTCACATTTAGAAGTGACAGGCTTCTTCAACTTCATTTTGGGCTCTCTCCTACCTCAGGGGTCCTCATGATTTACTTTTGTTTCAGAAATGAGCCAGGCATAGGTCTCCATGAGGTCAAGGAGTTTTACTTTTTCAAAGAGAGAAAGCTTAGCCACAAGGCACCCAACCAAGTGAAGATACTGATTTGGTGTGGGGGGAGGATGACATTCTCACATCTCTGTACCTAGGTTTGGGCAACCAGGGCAAGTAGTGGTGAAACTTGTAAATAGTATTGTAAGACAATATGGTTTGCCACACCCTTTGGAATGGAGTTTGATTTTCTTTGTTGTAAGGAGAGGTAGTTTAGACTCAGCTTCTGTGGCAGGAATGGGAAGCTTTTGTCCTCCACCCTTTTGATCTGGATTCATTATAGGAATGGCTTAGAGATGGATAGATTAGACTCATCTCTGCCCTGTGCTTCTTGGATGAAACTCGAAGGGGTGGTGGGTACAGGGTTGCTTGGATCAGCTGTCTGCACCAAAGCTTCCAAGGTGACAAGGGGCAGAACTTGGAACCAAATGACCTGCAGAAAGCCAGTCAGACCTAGGAAAGGAATTATGTAGGAATGATCTTTGGACTTGATCCCATCCCCAAATCAAGAATGAAAAATTGGATCTGATTCTAGACCTCTGTTGTCTGAAAAGTTTGGAAGATTATGTCTTCCCAACACTATATATCTTGATCATGTTTCCATAAGGTGTATACAAAGTGCAGATGTGATTTTATCATTTAAAGATATACCATCCAGGTATCTAACTTGTTTAACATTACAGTTTAAAATTTTTTTTGTATATTGTTTACATTTTCTGAGAGGTAGCATTCTGTTTCAAATGCTCATTTTGTTTCTAGACAGTATTTTTGGTTGTCTCCCAGCCACAAGGTTAAGAGTTACCAACATTTGAGATGTGGTTTTGTTTTTTGTTTTTTTTTTTTTTAAGGGTTATAGGCCTTTACTCACCGCATTTTCCTAGTATTTTCAAAATGTTAGGTTTGGCCCTTTGGAATTAGAGTATTTAAAAGCTAATCAGCGTGATTTATTCAAGTTTTCTCATTTTTTAATGGTTAAAAAAATGTAGAAAAAAGGAAGGGAACTGGTGGTGTTCAAAGGCTGTCTCCCCCACATCCTTTGGGTGGGTGGAGTCCAACCCTCCCCTACTCCCCCCCCTTTTTGTTATGATTTTGCACAGAAGAGATGAGAAGCTGTTACAGTCTTAAAGCATTTGGAAGCAATTGTGGAGTCTCTGGAGATTAAAGGCTTAAAACAGGAAAGGCAGAATGAGATGGAAGTTAAGAGGGTTTGTCTTCCCTTCTCTCCTTTAAGGGACTGGATAACATGTATTCCTAATGACATGTGTCCTTCTCTTCAGACCTTTCTATTTGAATGTCCATGGCTGCAAATGAGAATCCAGTAGGCTCCTTGTCACAGTGAAGAATTACTTATACCTCCACAATAAAGACCACTACCTGAAGGCCCTGGCCTCTTTAAACTCAATGACCACTAATCTTTGCATGCATTCATGCCCCACCCCTCACTTCACAACACACACGAACACAAGCCCCCTCTTTCTTTCCACCCCTCGTGTTTGGCGGATGAAAAGATATTCCAGTAAGTTATCAGCCCCCCAGACCAGGCTGCAGCATGCCTACATCCTTCAAGTTATTCTATCAAGAGGGTTGGTAGCCTATAGCCCATCTCTAGTCTCCCACTAATTCTATGGTGTCTGACTTATAGTAGGTAAAGAGGCTGCTAACCCCATTAAACGTCATACTCTCCTGTTCTTGTATCTCAGGACAGGGCCTCCCCAGCTGGTGCTTCTGACACACATTTATGTTCTGGGTGGAAGAGGATATTCCTTTGTCTTTGCCCTTCTTATCACAAGAAAAAAGAGAAAAATCTTATTTTAAATTTAGAATGGAGGAAATTATTAGAATCATTCTTATGTAAAGCAGCCCCCTTCATAAATATATATGAAGGAGAACAGAATTGTAGACTCTCCCACATGAACTAAAAGGCTGGGGGAGAGTTGGACAGATTCAATTTTTTAAGCACAGAGAGCAAAGGGAAAAAAAATTATATTTCAGCAAATACTGAGGGCCAGTGGATGGCTCATTTCAAAAGAGCCAGTTCCCTGTATCTGAAACATGGCAACTCTTTAAGATCACACCAGAAAATCTGCAATCACCATGCTTTTTTTCCCTTCTCAAGTCTTTACTTAAAAGTATTCTTACCATCTCTTGGTGTCATGCCCATATCTCCCAGGAAGCTTGGGGTGGTAGATCTTAAGGAAGGGGAGCTAACTTACAGAAGGAATTTTTCTCCCTGCTCAGTCACTTTGTAAAAGAGATTGAGTGTGATGCCTCCAAAGGAATAAGTCCAGGATTGCTCCTTAACTGGTGTCACACTTTTTAGCACAGTGGGATCATTGCAATTGAAACAAAATATGAATAAAGTTTTAGGTTCACCTCTTTGGGGGAAGGGAAAAACTCCACCAATCATGACATCTAGATTACCCACCGTTTCCATTTTTTAAATAGGAATTTTCGGTCCTCTGTGCTTGTCTGTTTGCTCGGAGAAGTTTGAGACCCTATTACTGTTTTGAAATGCATGCATGTTACAAGATGAATCTCTGACCCGAGGAAAAAAAAAATAAAACTCCAAATTTTGTGTACATCTTTTCTTCACTATGGTTTTTGTGCCCACCTTGGAGTAAAGTGTAAAGTAGCATTTTACCTTCCAGTTTGCAAAGCCAACTTTAGCTCTGCCTCAGTTTGGAGAAGGGATGTAGCAAATGCCATTTCTACATACTTGATTAGACTACTAGCTTAAAATGGCAGTGCAGCTAGAGCCTCTTTATTGTATCCTATCACTTCTCCCAACTCCTCCACTCTTTGTTTGCCTTCAACAAGATCTAGATACATGCCAGTCCTCACAGAGCCCAATCCTACCAGTTGTGGGTGGGAAGTACTGGGATCCCCTGAAAGCTTTTACAGATAATCCTTAAAATGACAAGTCCACAAGGCAAATAATACCTAAGGTTCCCTGCAGATCAGGAAGAGAATGAAAGGACCAGGGTAAATCCTTGAAACAACTATGGAAATTGCTCAGAAAGCAAAAAAAGAAGAGGTATCTTATTACTTTATTTTTTTAAGAAAAGATTAATGGGTTCTGGGAAAGGAAAATGAGTGGGAAAGGTTAGTCCATCCGTGCCTTCAGTGTCCGGGTGGTGATCTTGTCTTTCTCACTAAAGGGAGAATTGAGAGAAGATCATAATATAAGTTTTAACAGTGACTTTTATGCGTAAATGACCATACCAACACAGATACTTTTCAAGAAGCCTAGAAATGTCAAAACCTCCTTTGGACTCCTGGTTCAGTGCTCATTATACTGCAATACAGTTGCACTAATCCCATTTTGGGATGTGACCCATGTGGGGATTTGTTTTGCTTGACTATGCTTACTTGTTACAAATTTTCTATTTTTTCATGGAAGGGAGAAGACAGGAGAAAAAATGCATGATAATTAAAGGAAAAAAAAAAGATTCCCTCCACCCAAATTAAACACAACTGTCTGCTATAACAGAGAGGAGCACTAACGGATAATCAAAAACTCCCCTGGAATGTAAAATAATTCACTTGTCTTTTAGTTTTGCTAAACCACATACAGATTTAGTTTACAGTCTTGAAAATCATACTGGGGAATGGAGAAAGGAAATGCAGAAACTTGCTGGGAATCAGAAGAGACAGCCATCCTGAGATTTTTAAGATTGGCTACAGATTTACGTACCCTTCCCCAAACATGTGGAGCACAGGGGGGGAAAATAAATGAAGTTTACATTCTTTTACTAATCTGGTTATGTTAAAGCCTAGTGACAAGTGTCTGTATTTGAAACTATTTTCCAGGCATTTGTCTCTGCTTCTTTTAGGTAGAATGATCTTGGGACATTTAGTCAATCCAGGCAAGTGCCATAACAAGAAAGGAAAGCTCTATAAGAACAGGCATTACACCTTAGGGGATGGGGAAAGAAAATTGAGAAAAATATGAGTGGCCTTAGCTTATTCCCACCTCACCCTTGCTACAAAAGAAGTGGTTCCCTCTCCATAGCCCACCTACGGCAGTAAGAAAAAATTTACACCACCCCATACTCACATGATATGGACAATCACCCCCATTCCTGACACAGCATCCCGATCCACAGCATTCAGCATGGCTTGGGATATGGTTTCAAAGAGGTGCTCAGGTTCCTACAAAGAAAACAGCCTCCTATCAACTCTCAAAAGCCCTGGAACCCAGACTTGGCCCATCCCCTTGCATCCACTTACTCACTAATGGTACTCAGGGAAAGTCTTCAGGCCTAACCTAGGGTCTCATCCCAGCCCTTTCCTATCTTAACCACAATCTGTAAATGAGTAGGAAAAATAAGACTTTGAAATACTTCCTTAAAAAGTGGTAGTCCTCCCAATTCAAAACTGGCTGGGATATGGACATCAGGCCTGGAGGCTATTCCTCTCTTGGAGCCAGAGAAGTGAAAATTGAAGAAATGATTATTTGTTAACCCAACTCTGGCTCCAACTCCAGCCAGAAGCTTCTCTGGCTATGTGTTCATTTTTTCTGCACTTATCATGCAAACTCGCTTTTTATTTGATGACTAAGGGGTAGAGTGCCAGGCAGCTACCCCCAGTGTTTGGGATCTCCCAACACCCTCACCTCTACTTACCATATCAGGTTCCCAGAGGGATTCACACATCCCATACATCTGCTCCGAGCAGGTGCCACTGACCACAAAGTCATCAGTCACCATGGGACAGCCAATGAGGTCCAAGGAACAAATAAAGGGCTCAAAGGTCTTGGGGTGCAAGCCAGCAATGACTGGCTCAGTGTAGTAGGGGCCAAACCTGGCAGTGATGGGGTGGAAAGGGGTGGTCAGAAGAATTCAGTAGGTACCTCCTCACTCCCATACTTCTCCCAGACTAAAGTCGGGGCAGAAAGAAAACATCCCGCCAATTAGTGTGCCATCAGCTTGTTTCTTTTTATCTATTTGATTATAAGTTCTTCATTCCCTATTTGGCATCAGGCAATACTTAGGAACTCTTTTCTGGTCCTCTCTTCTGTACTTCCCTTAATTCTCTCTTTTGTAACTGCCCCTAGCATTTTCTTTTTAGAACCCCTTCAACTTTGGTCCCTCCCATCCTCATGGTCCCTTCTCCATTCAGTCCCTATCCCTACACTCTTGTAAGTGAACTCCATCCTAAGGGCCCTTCTCTATTCGTCAGCATGTCAAGAGAGCTTTCTCTCCCTGATCCTAGAGAATCTGCTGCAGCCTTAAAGCACTTCCAAGTCTGAGCTCCTCTCTGGAAATCACCAGTTTACTGTTCATGGGGATGGGGGCCTAATACAAAAATAGGTTAATAGTTATATAATGCTTTCAGGTTCGCAAAGGGCTTTATGTTCACTGCTTCACAGGAAGTCACAGATGAGTTGCCATCTATACCAGCAGAGGCAGTATCCATACAAATGAAAGGATAGGTATAGGTTTGAATATAGTATATGCCACCCCTCTCCTCACCCTCCCCTCCCCCAGATCTTTCTGAATGTTAAAAAATATATATACACTGGGAAACACTGCCATGGTAAGCTACATTTGAGTTTTATACAAGTTGGAATGGGAAGAAAGGGAGGGAGTTTGGCCCATTTTACAAAGCAGTAACTATAAATTAGGAAGTTGCTGGGAATAGTAGAGAATGTTGGATCTGAGGAGAGAAACCTGGCCTCAGAATCCATTTCTGACATTTATGCTGTATGAGCAAGGGTGAGTTGCCTCACATCTCATAACAAGGAAAGCATTTTGTAAACACTATAGAAATGTAAGCTAATAAAAGAGTTCAGTTTGACCCTCAATGATATTATTATGCCCACTTTATAGATGAGGCGCAGAGAGGTTAAATGATTTTGACTATGTTCACCCAGTCAGTAAATATCAGAGGCCAGACTCTAACCCAGCTCTTTTCAGACTCCCAATGCCAAACTCTTTCCACTCTACCATCCTGCTTCCCTCAGAAAGTCTCCCTTTAGAAACAAGGCCTTCCTCTTCCACAATAGTATATATGTGGAAATACCATCTTTTAGCACCATTGATGTTTCCACTGCCCCTGCTTTGCTCCCAATCATTTAACCCTGGAGGCCTGTTTTTGAAAGCCCTCCCAGACCTTTAAGCCCTGGGCCTGCTCACCGTTTCTCATAGAGAAGGTTGGCTACCATGCTCATGAGGGTATAAGGCTTGATCTGTCGTCCTTCTTTCAGTTCATATAAATTCAGCCGGAATTTGAGGCGCTGAGCTCTGAGGAAGAAACCAAGAACCAACCATGTCAGTACTGGCTTGTGGCCCTCATGTTGCCAGACATATAGATGGCGAGTGACAGAGACCAAGCCAATATTGTCAACCCTAGACAAACCTCACCTTTCAAGATGCCTTCTCCAAACAGCTCCACCTGTTTTATTCAAGACCCCAACAGTACATCTGTTTTTGTTAATTATAACTTGTAAATATGCAGCTTTATAAATATTTCCTTCAATAGCTCTGCCTGCTATCTGTCTTAACTGTACCAACAGGAAGGTGAAGTGAAGGGTAAGCCTACTCCATTTCTCTGTAACTTTTTAAACTTTTTTTTCCATTTTATTTTCCTCTTGCTCTGATCTCAACAAAATGAACAATTCCATACACAGTTAGGAAAAGGAGAAGACTGTATATGATCTTTAAATCCTTCTCCCTAACCACCCACATCCAGTCAGTCACCAAGTACTGTCAATTCTTCCTATACAGTGCCTCTTGAATTCATCCAGTCCTTTGTCCCATTCCTATACCCTAAGCAGGTCCTCCCTTGTATCAGAATTATAAGAAACCTCTTCACTTTTATTCGATAGCCTCTCCAATTCATTATGCTGGACACCACCAGATTAATATAAAATGTATCACTTTCAACATATTACCTAATTACTCAGAAACCTTTGATGGCTTCCCACTGCCTAAAGGATAGAGTGTAAATAAACCCCTTAGCCCTTCCATGTTCTGACTCCAAACCTACTTTTCCAGTCCTATTTCCCTGTTCCTCCTTCTCCTTCTTTCCTGTCAATTGTTCAAAGGACCAGGTCAAATTTTGTAGCAGCACAGCTTACGTATACAGATTCTGGTCTTAGAGTCAGACGTAAATAGGTTCAAAATAACTCTCTGACATTTAGTAGCTGTCTGACTCAGAGCAAGTCACTTAACTTCTCAGTTTCAGAGAGAATGAATTCTTTTTTGTTTTGCCTTTTTTTTTTTTGTGAGGCAATCGGGGTTCAGTGACTTGCCCATGGTCACACAGTAAGTGTCAAGTGTCAGGCTGGATTTGAACTCAGGTCCTCCTGACTCCAAGGCCAAAGCTCTATCCACTCTAGCCACCTAGCTGCCCCACAATTAATTCTTTAGGACTTATCCACTAATTCTTGGTAGGTAGAGATAACGATAGAAAAAGCAATGGACAAGAAGCCAGAAGACTTGGAGTCTCAGTCACACTCTGCTAGTTGGATGTTTGACTTTGGATAGGTTCTTTCCCCTCTTTGGGGTTCCCCTATAAGTAATATATAGGAGGATAGGACTAGATGCTCTCTATATGCTCTCCCAGTTCTAATACT